TATAAATCAAGTCATATATATTTTTTTGCTCAATGAATGTAAGATTGATCCATATTTTTGTTTGTAGAAATATATGAAATTCTTAAATCTGTATAGCGATAGCGGTCCATTGTATAAATATCTACCAGAACTCAATTTTATTAATCTATTCTACCACTGATGAACATGTAAGTTATTTCTATTTTTTGCCTATTACAATTAATTCTACTGTTTATTTTTTTTAAGACAGGTTCTCATTCTGTCACCCTGGCTAGAGTGTAGTGGCATAATCATAGCTTACTGCAACCTCAAACCCCTGGCTAGGCTCAGGTGATCCTCCTGCCTCAGCCTCCTGAGTAGCTGGGACTACAGGCAGACGATACCATGGTTGGCTAATTTTTTCTTTTTTTTGTAGAGATGAGGTCTCCCTCTTGTTCAGGCTGGTCTTGAACTGGCCTCAAGTGATCCGCCCGATTAGGCTTCCCAAAGTGCTAGTATTACAGGCGTGAGCCACCAGCCTAATTCTACTGTTTTTAAATGTCTTTCTTCTATTACTCATTTCTGTTGGGTATATAGTCAATAGTGGAATTAACTATACTATTAATATGTACAGCCAAGCAGTCTTTCAAGTAGTTATATTAATTTACATTCTCACCAGCAATGTATGACTGTTCCAGTTATTTTACATGATCACCAGTCCTGGGTATTGTTAGTCTTTTTAATTTTAGGCTTCAGTGAGTGAGTAATTTTATCCCATGTGGTTGTAAGTTGCCTTTCCTTGCTTACTAGTGGAATCTGACTCCTTTTCATTATTAATCATTTGGCTATCATCTTTGGTGCAATGCCTGTTCCAATCTTTGTCCACTTTCTCTATGGACTATCTTCTTTTGTAACTTGTAGTTATTTATATTTTTCTTTGTTGAATATATTTATTGCAAATAACTTCTGTGGCTTGTCTTCTCATTCTTGAAGGTATCTTTTGATGAATACAATTTCTTAATGCACTCTGTATTTCCTTTCTTAGGAAAATAGCCTATTACGCTGACATGAAGGTAGTTTCCTCTGTGTGTGTGTGTGTGTGTGAAAAGCTTTATTCTTTTATCTTTTGCATTTAGATCTACAGACCATCTGTGATTTTTCTGTATTGTGTGAAATAAGGATCATCATTTTATTTGTTTATTCCTACATGAATATCTAAATTCTCTAGCACAATTTTTTTAAAAGACTATCCTTTCCTTTACTTAATTCCATTGTCCTCAGTGTCATACGTCAATTGACCATACATTTATGGGTTGGTTTCTGGACTGTTCCAATGACATATTTTATCTTTCCTTACAGTAATACTACCCCCTTTTAATTACTGTAGCTTTGTAATTAATCTTGATATCTGGCTCATCTCCATGTAAATTTTAGAAGCATCTTGTCAGTTTCCATGTTCCTGCTCTCATTAACCTGATTTTGGTTAGGATTACATTGATTCTATAGATGAGTTTGAGTTCTCTTGACATGTTTATATTATTGAGCCTTTCAATCCATGATTGTGGTATATTCTATTTTTTGCAGTTTAATTTCTTTTATTAATGCCATGGATTTTTCTGTGTAGAGGTCTTATACACTTTTTATTAGAACTATTTCTTGGCATTTTTTTCTATTGTGAATGGCTTTAGAATTTTTTCATCTTATAGTTGTTGATATATAGAAATACAGTTAACTTGCATAAATAGACTGTCAGTGCCTTTGAAGGGTTTAGTATTTTATCTTATTTGTACGCTAACAAGTTACTCTCTGACTGGGTCATGGATACTGACAGAAGATACAGGACTTCTGAGTCAGAGAAAAATGACCATATTATCCACAACATAGGAAGCAATATGAATATCAGCCTACTTTTTGTGTCAATTCCCCTTCACCCCCAGGTGTCACAGGACCCAGAGTGCATGCTACTCATGCAGTGGGTTTGCATCTCAGACAAGAAACATTGAGGGATTCACTGATTTTATTGTAAGTAAAAGCAAGCATACTTTGCCTGGGAAGAGATACTGCCTCATCTCAAGGTTACTTGCTACATACATAACCCTGAGAGATGGCCTAGGTAAAGAGTGTTCAGGGACTTGCATTCTTGGCATATCCATTGTGTAAATGCAGCAACATTCAGGGCCCCTGGTGGATTGCCTCTCCCACCATTGACATTGCACCAACATTGCTGAATTAACTTTTAAAATCTGATACTTTATATATAGTTTTAATCTTAGGATTGTCTACTTATACAAACATGTGATTTATGAATAATGCAGCTTTATTTATTTATTTATTGCCATATTATACTGGCTAGGGCTTCCAGTAAAGAGTGGAATGGAAAGGGTAATGCCAATTACCCTTTCCATTCTCTGTCTTTAAGGTAAAGCTTTTAATACTGTGACATTTTAAGAATGAAATTGACTGTATTAGGTTGTTTGTAGACACCCTAGGACAGGGGTGGGAACCTGTGGCCTTCTAGGTCTTTAAGTGTGACCTAGTATAGATTATCCAGATTCTTTTTAGAAGCAAATTTTTAAAGTTTTCCAGAGACTACAAAGTTATCTAATGAACATCGAAGCAAAATCTTAAATAAAAAATTACCATATAGAATCCAGTTATACATTTAAACTATATATCATAAACAAATGGAATTTTTGGATTGTATATATAGTCACTACTGGGAAATCCATTATTATTCATCATATTAATAGAGCTAATATGAAAAATTATTTGCATCTCTATTCTTGCTGAAAAGGTCTTTGAGTAAATTTAATTCTGAATAAAATGTAGAATTGATGGATACTTCTTTAACATGATAACTTAGTCAAAAAGCCAGTATCTGAAGGGGGAAACACTAGTAGCTTACTCTTCAGCCAGAACAAGTGAAAAACATGTACCTACTATCTCCATTCTTTTAACATTTTGTTAGGGATATTTATTTCAATATAGGTAAGCAAGAGAAAACAATTGAAGTAACATGCAACAAGAATCAGAAAGGAAAGGGTAAAACTTACCTCTCTTTTTAGATGATACTGTTTTGTATCTGAGAAACACAAAAGAATCACTGAACATAAATATTGATAAGAGAATTTAGTAAAATAGCATGATGTCAATAAAATTAATATTAATATATAGCAGTCAACTACCTTACATATAGATAATAATGGAAAGAAAAACCACACATTTGCAATAACAACATCAGCAAGAAAAAAACCCAAGCATTGTCTTTGTAACGTGCAAAAACGTTGAAACAACTGAATAGTCAAAAAGATGAAAGTGTGTCCTTTTTCACACCACACTCCAGGATAAATTCCAAACAAATAGACAACATGGGTGAATTCCTTTTAAAACCTGAGAATAGGAAACTTTTTTCTCTATTGCTTTTGAAAGCATATGTGTTTATCTTTTGGCCTAGCAAATCCCTAAGAATCTATCTCAAAGATATACTCTCAAAAATACAAAATGGCATAGATTAAATAGACCAGTGTTTCTCAAACTTGAGCATGCATCAGAATCACTTAAAGAACATATCATGCAGATTCCTGGAACCTACTTTCAGAGTTTCTGATTCAGTAGATCTAGGCTTGAACCCAATAATTTGCATTTCTATTAGATTTTTAGGTAGTGATGTTTTTGTTCTGGGTACCACACCTTAGGAACTACTGTTAAGACATTGCAGTGATAAGAGCAAAAAGCCAGAGAGAACCCAAATACCCATCAACAAAGTCTGGTGGAAGAAATTATAGTGTGTCTACACAATGGAATTCTATGCAGAATATTCTCTAGGATATATTAAGTGAAAAAAAAGTGCTAGACAATTAATAGTATGTGATCTTTTGTTGAAAGAAATTAGTAAAAGTATTAAAAATATACATATATAAAGGCAAAAACACAGATTAACAATGGAAAGGTAAACAAAAAACTATTGAAAATGGTTTTCTATAGGAGAAGGGTGGTATACTGATGAATTAAGATAACTTCCTACGAAATTTAGTTAAGGAAGGGAGCTAGACTTACATAAAGTAGTTTTATAATTTTATGAAAGTAAAACAAAATTTTAAAATATACTTTCTAGAAATATGAAATAAAGCAAACTAAAGTATATGGTAAATTTGTGGCATAATGGCATGGATAACTTAATGTGGAATATATCTTAGATGTGAACTACTATTAAAAGAGGAAGACATTAGTAAATGTGCACTCTTCAAGAGTCATCACGAGCAGTAGTGATTATAATTTTCTTTTAAATTAAGGATCTGAATCAGCATTTTCTGTGTTCTTTATCATAAACAATACATACTGTTGAACTTTATAGCACATAAAAATCTACTTGCTATTTATTATAAGAGGTATAGTTCTTAAAGGAAGAACTTATCCATGATTTGGCTATGCTCTGTCAAGACTATATAAAACAGCTGGTGAAGTAGAGTGGTTACATCCTGCGCAAACCCATATTGTTTCTATTAGAGAAATCTTAAAATGCCTTCTAACACTTAGTAAGCCCAAACGATTGATTTAAGAAATGAAGAAATGTAGGGATTAAAACTTATGGTAGAATTTTTGAGATCTCATGGCCTGATTGCCTTGATTTTAAACTGTTAATCCAAGGCTCTTCTACTATATCATATTGTCATTAGATTTACCTTGAGAACATAGATACTGCCCAAAGAGGGCCCTAGAATCTTTTCTAAGTTTTATCTAATTTGATGACTCATGGTTTATGTTCTACTTCCTGCTTCTTCAATCCTATTGAAAAATTAAAGAATGAAAAGTAATGAATACTAATACCCATACCTTCCCCATCCTATCATCCTTCACTAGAGCTTTCTGAGGAAATAAACTGAAAAGGGAGGCTGTTTGCAGTAGAACTCCAAAAAGAAGATCCTTCCCAAAAGTGTTTGGTCACAGTTCTTAATACAGGTAGCAGCATATGATTGGGGAAGGAATGGTGCTTGATAGCAACTCTGATAACAAAATGTTTCATTGTCCCTTTTTTCCCCTAGTATCGTCTAGACTGTCACAGCCATCCTCTCCCCAATCAGGCTGCCCATCACCCACCATTCCAGCAGGTAAAGTCATTTCTCCATCACAGAAGCACAGCAAGAAAGCACTAAAGCAGGTAAGCATTGCTAGTCTGTGTTTATCAGAAGTATAATCTCCCACATTAAAAATGCATGACTGTGGCAATCATTGAAAATTTCTCAAAAGCTTTGGGCCCTTTTAAGGGGAAATTTCATGCAATATCCCAATTTGGTTTTAGTAATTTGTGCATATTTTTGTATACCTGTTATAGGTTTTTTTTTGTTTTGTTTTGTTTTGTTTTTGAGACAGAGTCTCACTTTGTTGCCCAGGCTAGAGTGAGTGCCGTGGCGTCAGCCTAGCTCACAGCAACCTCAAACGTCCTAGGCTCAAGCAATCCTTCTGCCTCAGCCTCCCGAGTAGTTGCTACAGGCATGCCCACCATGCCTGGCTAATTTTTTCTATATATATTAGCTGGCCAATTAATTTCTTTCTATTTATAGTAGAGATGGGGTCTCGCTCTTGCTCAGGCTGGTTTCAAACTCCTGACCTCGAGCAATCCTCCCGCCTCGGCCTCCCAGAGTGCTAGGATTACAGGCGTGAGCCACTGCGCCCGGCCTTGTTACAGGTTTTTGATAGATACTTTTTTAAATCACATTTTTAGTTCTTAATTTGTTCTTAGTTTTTGGAGAAGTTTTTTTGTGTGTTTTTAAATCATGAATAGGTGTTGAATTTTTCAAGTTGTTTTCTTTGGGATTTATTGAAATTATGTAGATTTTCTCCTTTTAATCTACCAATATACAGAATACACAGCTAGATTTTCTAAAATTAAACTATAATTCTCAGGAATAAACCATATTTGTTACATATCTTTTTAATGTGTTAATTGAATCTTGTTAAGACTTTAGTTTGGATTTTGCAGTTTGCTTGTACTCTTATGTGATTTTGAAATCAGAATTGTTCTAGCATCATAAAATAAGTTGTTCAACTATGTCTCCATTTTATGTTTCTCAGTGTTCATTTTTAATGTATGCTTTTTCCCAGTACTACTTGCCAACAATTTGTCTATTTTATTGGGCTTTTGAAAGAACTAGCTTTGAGGCTGCGCACGGCGGCTCACGCCTGTAATCCTAGCACTCTGGGAGGCCAAGGTGGGCGGATTGCTCCAGGTCAGGAGTTCGAAACCAGCCTGAGCAAGAGCAAGACCCCGTCTCTACTATAAATAGAAAGAAATTAATTGGCCAACTAATATATATAGGAAAAAATTAGCTGGGCATGGGTGATGCATGCTGTAGTCCCAGCTACTCGGGAGCTGAGCGCATAGGATCACTCGAGTCCAGGAGTTTGAGGTTGCTGTGAGCTAGGCTGATGCCACAGCACTCACTCTAGTCTGGGCAACAAAGCAAGACTCTGTCTCAAAAAAAACAAAAAAAGAAAGAAAGAAAGAACTAGCTTTAGATTGTTTTAAAATGCAAATGATCAATAAATATAAACTCACTAATAATTAGAGAAACGGTAAAATAAACAGATTACTTTTATCCTCAGATTTTGGTAAAATTAAAGAGCTTAAGTATTGGCAAATGTGTAAAAAAATAAATACTCATTTGCTATTGGGATATAATTAATATAGCCATTTTGGAGAGAAATTTTACAATATCTTATAAAATTTAAGATGCCATATATCTCATGATTAAGCAGTTGAGCATTTTAGAAACTTACATTAGAAATATACATACATACATATACACACACAATAAAAAATATATTATAAAGTTTGTTATAGCAAGAACTTGTAAATAAGCTAAAATATGTATCAGGAATTCAATAGTAAATGATGGCATATTCACATGCTGGAAAATTATCCAAGATTAAAAAGTTTATTTGTGTAATGAGGTTGTTATATATGTTTAGACATGGGGAAAAGAATCATTAAAATTAAGTTTACTACATGTAGGCATTATCCCCTTTTTAAAAACATATCCATATCGGACAAAATAATGCTATATTTTTAATAGAAATATACATGTGTGTTATCATATACATATGCACACACACATATATATATGTAAAAAATAAGTTTCGATAAGGAAAAATAAACTGATGACTGTGGTTACCTCTGAGAATTGTAGACCAAGACCTAGGTAGTGATTTAAAAAAGAGTTTAGGCCGGGCGCGGTGGCTCACGCCTGTAATCCTAGCTCTCTGGGAGGCCGAGGCGGGCGGATCGCTCGGAGGTCGGGAGGTCGAAAACCAGCCTGAGCAAGAGCGAGACCCCGTCTCTACTATAAATAGAAAGAAACTAATTGCGCAACTAATATATATAGAAAAAAATTAGCCGGGCGATGGTGGCGCATGCCTGTAGTCCCAGCTACTTGGGAGGCTGAGACAGAAGGATCGCTTGAGCCAGGAGTTTGAGGTTGCTGTGAGCTAGGCTGACGCACGGCACTCACTCTAGCCTAGGCAACAAAGCAAACTCTGTTCTCAAAAAAAAAAAAAAAAAAAGAGTTTAGTTTTGTGACAAAAATGTATTCATATATTGCCTGTTTTAATAAAATTTTATTAATAACAATTATGTAAATTTTAAACTATTTAAACCAGGAACACTTTTATTAAAAGATATCCATAAATTTGATAAGACTAATTGCTGCCTGCCTGGGTATACTGTAGCACTTGCATTTCTGTAAGTTCTTGGGAAGATTTTTAAGAAGTATAAGATGCTTTTTCCCCCACAAGAAAAAAACAAGTATTTTCTTAAACCTTATTAACTAATTCGTGACACGTATACTTCTCCAGTAGTATACTCCTATAATCCTAAGTGTCACATATTATTTTCTTTAGGGAATATCAATATGGAAAAGTATATAAATTAGATTTGTTGGTATGTACAAGTAAGTCCTTGCTTCCAGTGTTTATGTTTTTCATAATGTTAGGTAAGAAAAATTACTTCAACATTAGTTATCCTTTACCACAAATGAGAGTTGTTGTTTTTGTTATTTTAAAAGAGAATTAGGAACAGGGTTTATAAAACAATGAGGGGAAAACTGTACAGTTCTTAATTAGAGGGGCTGTAAATTATTCTGTTTCCATCATATGTCTGAATTTACATGATCACAGCAGAAACAGATGGTATCAAGTGATGCTGTTAAGTTTTGCATTAGGCTGGGTGCTCACGCCTGTAATCCTAGTACTTTGGGAGGCTGATGTGGGAGGATTGCTTGAGGCCAGGAATTCGAGACCACCCTGAGCAAGAGTAAAAAATAGAAAAATTAGCTGGGTGTGGTGGTGTGCACCTGTAGTGCCAGCTACTTGGGAGGCTGAGGCAGGAGAATTGCTTGAACCCAGGAGTTTGAGGTTGCAGTGAGTTATGCTGATGCTACTGCACTCTGGCCCAGGTGACACAGTGAGACCCTGTCTCTAGAAAAAGAAGAAAAAGTTTTGTATTAACCTGGAATTAATTATATGAGTACTGTGAGTAGCAAGGATGAATACTGGCATGGCAGCTGCCATCCAGGAAGCCTGTGAACATCTTATGAGCTGTTTGCAAAGAATGAGAGATTAAGCCATAATCAGTGGTCAGACAGCACTGCCATTTTTTACACATTGTGCTTCTGCCTGACCTATTACAAGTATAGATGAATCTGAGCCAGATATGTGGCCCTCTCAGTTGCTTTTCTCTCTTGGCAACTTAGAGCAAGATCAAGGTTGCCACTGTGCCTATAGCACAGCCAGCGATATGTGTAAATGTTAAGCAGTAGGAAACTATATTAGGAAGAGGAAAGGGGAAACTAGAAGTAGCCAGTTTCCCCACACTTTTCTACATGATGGTCTTGAAGGTTAAAGCTTGAAATTGGTAACTTTAGCACAGTCAAATTTCCAATTTTTTCCTGAAATTTCTTACTTGCTTTCTTTGTCTCTTTTTTTAAAAACCTTGAGTTTAATAGTTATCTGTATATATTTTCATGATTAAAATTTGGATATTTCTTGCTTTTTCTGTTAATTTTAAATAGTGTTGTCAAGTGTATTTTATAAGTTAAAAACCTCAAAAAAAAAATATTCTGAAGGAGCCAGAAGGAACCACACTATTCTTAGAAAAAGTATTGTCTAGTCTTTCTTCCCCTCTGTTTATTGCATTGCTGTAAATTGCTGAGATTGGGTAATTGAGACAAATCTCATTGCTCTTACCCAAGATTACTCAAGTAGTTATTTACAACCTCTTTTTCAAATATAGCACCTGTGAAGCATTATATAAACTAAATATTTATATTTTTTACATAAGGCTGATGCAAAAGGATTAAGTTCTAAAATATGTTAATGACTATTTCTCACATTTATATAAAGGAGTAATTACTGACCAAAAGTATCCAAACCATAAGGATTATTTAGTCTTTGTGTTTACTTGGCTTAATGTAGGTTTTTGTTTTCCTTAATAGATTTCAAAGAACTTGAATGATCAGCATGCTTCTCACCATTTAAAGAAGTCATTTAATTTATATTATTACTAAAAAACTGATTTTTTTTGTTTCTTATAGTCAGTTTTCTCTTTATAGGCTCTAAAGCAGCAACAGCAGAAGAAGCAGCAGCAGCAATGCAGGCCAAGCATGTCCATCTCCTCCAACCAACATCTCTCTCTAAAGACTGTCAAAGCCACTAGTGACACTGTACCTGCCAAACCTGGTAGGCATTTTTTTCAATGGAAGCTTCTTTCCCAGTATTTTATGTTGGTTTATACTATCTTTATACTGCCAAATCATCAATACAAATCCTTCCAGGATAAATGGGGAAAGTTGTCTGCAAAATAATCACACTGTTATTTAAAAAGGCAACAATCAGATTTGCATGTAAGATGGAAATAAGTGACTAACTCACATTGTCTAAGCTAATAATATTTGGAAGCCTCTGGTCAGTAATCTTAAAAAAAAATGTGGTGTTTCTAAGAGACTCAAGCTGAACTCTTTATCAATTCTCTTTAAAAATGAAAGGTTTTCCTAAAAATGCATACTATCAATACCTTTGTATTGAACATGTCTATAAGACCTTTGGATTTTTTGTTGTTGTTTCTTGATTTGTTTTGTTTATAATCTAAACTAGTTTAGATACAGACCTTGTACTATATTACATAATTAAATTTGATGCTATAAGGTGATTCTATGGGCCTTTCAGACAATCCGAGTCTTGCAGAACTTTGCATTTTTGTTAGGAAGGAAATTTACCCCCAGAAGAAAATAGTATGCTGGGAGGAAAAAAAGGGATTTTGTTTTACTTTTTGCTGACTTTAATTCTCAAATTCAAAATACATTAACATAATTGTGTTGCCTCATACATTACCTTGGTTTAGTTAGTGTTAAATGATTGATTGATTAATTGATTTCTGTCTATAATCTCAGCGCACCAGTCTTTACATATTTTTCCCCTAGCAATATGGGAAGGAAAGCAACCCGACGGACAGTCAAGCAGTCCCCAGAACTCAAACTCCAGCTTTTCACCGTCAGTTAAAGTGGAAAATCCTTTGCTAGGCTTGGGGAAGAAGTCATTTCAGAGGTCTGACAGACTCCACACAAGTAAGTTAGTTTACAAAGATGTCAGTTTTCATTGCTGTGATATATCAGCTATCTGTTTGAAATTCATTGGTTATTTGGCTTAGGTTGAGTACATAATTTGAGTTATGTGGCCAGGATTAGACATAATTTCTTTTTGTTGTTATTTACATAATTACTTTTAAGAAATGAAAAGAAACTTGGACAGAATTGATTTAGTAAGTCTTTTTTCCTTATTTGTTTCCCTGTTTTTACCTTTAAACATGCCTATCTGCATGTTCTTCCTGTGCTCTCCTTACCAAACTTCATTTCAGAGAAAGATCTGTTTTCAGCCATTTTGTGGTTTCTCTTTCTGCCAATAAGTTGCTTTGTCCAGCATTACTTATGTTTTATGTCTGTGTTCAGAAAGATAGAAGGGCTTACAATTAAATATCACAAACTTAAATCTTTTCTCCCTGCCCCACCCCTCGAAATCCTACTTAAATGAGAATATGGGAAATACAAAAGATTAAATCCATATGGGTGAAGAAAATAGGGAGACAACAGATGGGCAGGCTATATCAACAAATTTTGGAAGATTGAAAATGTGGTAGAATTTTTTACTGAGCTGAAGAGCACTTGCCAGTAATATGCAAGCCAGCTAAACTGCAGAGCACCAGAAAGGTTTGACAATTAGAGATATGATTTATCACAGAAGAGAGAAGGGTGAGGCATAGAGTTAAAAAGAAGAATCTTGTTTGGAAATTAGTAAGAAGTAATTTGATGCCTTACCCCAGCAAGAGACAGGACGTTTATTTTGAAATGAAATTGAACCACAAAAGTTGAAATTCAGGGATACCAAACATAACTATGGGCAGATAATGAGGCATTATACTGAAATCTGGGAAATCAAGTAAAATAAAAATACAAAATAGTGATTGTCCTAACTTCCAGAAGGCTAGTGATGAGGCATATTTCTAACACCACTACTTCCTCCCTTCTCTCACCGTCCTCCAGCAGGAGATTGATACCTAAAGACATTGGGTAACCTCAGAAAAAAATCTACAGGTAAATTTATAGGTTACCAACTAACAGATCATCTAAACACTTTAGTGAAGCTCACCAGTCTATACATTCCATCCATTCTAGTTAGTTTTTGAGTACTTCTCTTTAAATTTTTATTACTAGGATCACTTTTAAACTCCTCTATCATGAGAGACAAAATCTGAAATATAGAATCTCAGAGCAAATGGAGACTCCAGGGAAGAGAAAAATTAAAACAAGTAACTTTAAGAACTGTAGTATTCACAGAAAGGAATAAAAGAAGAAATTGTATCCATGAAAGAAGCAGAATAGTATTTTTAAAATAAGAAAAGAGTTCTAAGATATTAAACAATATGGCTGCTGAAATTAAAATTATATTGGAAATACTGAAAGATAAAGCTGAAGAAATTTCGTAGAAAATGTCAAAGGGAAAAAGAGATTCAGTAAGAGAGGAAAGGTAAGAAAATTGGAACACCAGTCCAGGTTATCCAGGGTCTTAAATTGGACTATCAGAAAAGAAGAACAGAAGTTAAAAGGGAAGTAAATGATAACAGAAACAACATAAGAACATTTTAAACTGGATGCAATGGCGTGCGCCTGTAGTACTTGGGAGGCTGAGGCAGGAATATTGCTTGAGTCCCACCTGGGCAACATAGCAAGACTCTTACCTCCTTTAAAAAAAAAAAAACAAACATTCTTAGAGTTGACAGCCACAGGATTCCAGATTGAAACTACATGATAGGTGTTAAGAAACATGAATAAAAAGAAACCCATGCCAAAGCACATTCTTTTGAAATTCCAAAACATCCAGGATAATGAGAAGTTTGCAAAAAAGCCTCTAGAAAGAAAAAAATATTCACATGAGAAGATACAAGGATTGGAATTACAGATATCTCAATAACATTTTGATAGGCAAAAAATATTTTTTATTCATTGGTTTAATTTACATTTTTAAAAATATTAATATCTTAGCATCTACTTATGGTTAGTGGACTAAGAATTACCTATTAATTTCCTTTGCTCATGTTTCTCTTGGTGGTATAAATGTACTTTTCATATGAAGAATAGTAACTGTTTGCCATTGCTTGCAAATGTTTTTTCCAAGTTAGTCTTGTGTGTGTGTGTATTCATTCATTTTCATATTTTCATTTACATTTTAATTCTTTGTATATTCAAATCAGTCAGTTTTTGGAAAGACTATAACCTGGTTGGGGACAGATTTCCTGAAAGTGTTAAGCCATTCAATCATAATATTTTTAGCTAATGCAAATTAGTGAAAAAAATTCTCACAGAAAGAGGAAAAGCGCGTGAGTATGATTTGTAGATTTGGGTTTTTATTTTTTTTAGACATTCTCTGTATGTGTCATTTATCATAAACTTGCTCATTTTTTTGGAAAATAACCTAGTCTCAAACATAAAATGCAGTTTTAGTATGGCAGAAGATCCATTTTTTTACAGAACTTGTTCTATTTTTTTACAGAGAAGATAAATTATATTATTTTAACCTTCATAAATCAACAAAACTTGTTTTGTTATTTTAAAAATAAATTCCTAAGATATTTACGTGTTACCTTCCTCAAAGTGTGATATATAAGCTTATAACTGGGTTTTTTTGTACTGCACAGAAAGCTGTAGTTTAGGTAGAAACAGGACTGTGAGGGAAACTGAAATGATTCTTTTCCATATTTTTGCAGGACAAATGAAAAGGACTAAATGTGCTGACATTGATGTTGAGACACCAGACTCCATTCTGGTTAATACAAATCTGCGAGCTCTGATCAACAAACACACATTTTCAGTTCTTCCTGGAGATTGCCAACAGCGACTGCTTTTACTACTCCCAGAGGTGGATCGACAGGTGCGTCATTTCAAGCATAAGAAATTTTATGACTCTTCAGGGGCTTGCTTCACTCATACCTTTACAACTCCTTAAGATTTTTAAAATAGTTTTTTATTTATATCTGTAAAGAAGTGGTATTTGGCCGGGCGCGGTGGCTCACGCCTGTAATCCTAGCACTCTGGGAGGCCGAGGCGGGCGGATTGCTCAAGGTCAGGAGTTCAAAACCAGCCTGAGAGATTTAATTGTTCTTAGTTTTTGGAGAAGTTTTTTTGTGTGTTTTTAAATCATGAATAGGTGTTGAATTTTTCAAGTTGTTTTCTTTGGGATTTATTGAAATTATGTAGATTTTTCTCTTTTAATCTACCAATATACAGAATTACACAGCTAGATTTTCTAAAATTAAACTATAATTCTCAGGAATAAACCATATTTGTTACATATCTTTTTAATGTGTTAATTGAATCTTGTTAAGACTTTAGTTTGGATTTTGCAGTTTGCTTGTACTCTTATGTGATTTTGAAATCAGAATTGTTCTAGCATCATAAAATAAGTTGTTCAACTATGTCTCCATTTTATGTTTCTCAGTGTTCATTTTTAATGTATGCTTTTTCCCAGTACTACTTGCCAACATTTCTATTTTATTGGGCTTTTGAAAGAACTAGCTTTGAGGCTGCGCACGGGCGCTCAATGCCTGTAATCCTAGCACTCTGGGAGGCCAAGGTGGGCGGATTGCTCCAGGTCAGGAGTTCGAAACCAGCCTGAGCAAGAGCAAGACCCCGTCTCTACTATAAATAGAAAGAAATTAATTGGCCAACTAATATATATAGAAAAAATTAGCTGGGCATGGTGATGCATGCCTGTAGTCCCAGCTACTCGGGAGGCTGAGGCAGTAGGATCACTCGAGTCCAGGAGTTTGAGGTTGCTGTGAGCTAGGCTGATGCCACAGCACTCACTCTAGTTGGGCAACAAAGCAAGACTCTGTCTCAAAAAAAACAAAAAAAGAAAGAAAGAAAGAACTAGCTTTAGATTGTTTTAAAATGCAA